ACTACTTCACCTCCTCCAACTTATATGCTATACGTTCTTGTAAAGCCGGATATAAATTTACTAATAATGATTAACTTCATCCAAATAAGCTTTAAATATTAAAATTACTCATTTCGCGGCTTTTACTTTATGCAATACAGTAAAACATATAAATATGTTTACATCAATTTTTATGTATATTATGATGTGCACGTGTATAGTAATTATTGTCTATAATTGCGAAAATGATATCAATAATCGAAAGAAATAAATGAATTTCTTAAGAACGGCAAAACAATCGATTAGCTCAACAACGTTAGCTACTTTTGTTTACAATCACTTAGTATTGTATGTGTATAGTTATGTGTAATCAACAAATTTATTTTAATGAACGTTCATCTCTCAATAAGCTCGTAGCTACTTACAATCTTTGAATGTACATTCGCACTCTCCGGATAACACTCGACGCACAAGTGGCTTAATTAATATTCTCTGATGGACCTTTCAATGGATCTACTAAATCCATGGCTCGCAACGAATTGATCATCCCGAGAGCAGGCAAGTGGTTTAGCCGAGCCAAACAAGAAATAATTGCCCTGGAAGAGTCACGGCTGTTTCACAGCAGGCAACGACTTATTATAACTCGCACGAACATTATAAAGGAGGAACTGGAAATTTCTCTTCTGCTTGTCTAGATTATTTTTCTTTTTTTTTTTGCTCTTCTTTTTCTTCTTCTTCTTCTTTTTTTGCTCTTCCTTTCCTTCTGATCCGTTGATCCTTGGAAAAGTTTCGACCGTGTTGTCGACGATCAGAAAATAGAATCCTTCTATAAGCCCGAGCGAACTTTCGTGTTTCACACGAAAACAATGGTCCATGGATTTAGTCGCGCAGTCGATCACCAACATGCATGAAAATTATTAAGCATTTTCTCCTCTTAAATAGAGAAAAATTAAAGCAAGAGATAGAGATATAGAGAGAGAGAGAGAGAGAGAGAGAGAGAGAGAGAGAAAAGTACCTATACTATTTCATAATATCGTGGATCGTCGAGTTAAATTAAGAATAATAAATTAAAGGAGCGCAGGGCGCCGTAAGCTGCGCTAAACTACAAGGAGACGGGTTAATTTTACAAGTCCGCATTGTAGTTCTGAAGTTTGTCGCTTAATTCTTAAAAGAAATGCACAAAGTTTCAATTGAATCGGATGAAATTGGTGAAATTCGTGGGCGCGTGCGCGTCACTTGTACAACTTTTCAACTCATTAGTACCTCCCGGCTTTTTAATATAGCGCTTTTATGTATACGCACGAAGTATGCTAATATTTGCCTTAATAATCGATTCGGTACGAATTGATATATAATTGATATATCGTTGGCGAATCGATTAATGCAGCACTTTTCGTCGAAATCCTACATATACTAAAATGCCCTAAATAATACCGCAAAAGATGAGAAAAAAAATCAATTAAAGCTGAGAAAGAGGGAGTCGCCAAGTTTCTCAAGCCAATGGCTGTAATTACATTCGCTCATTAAACGGAAATAGTCTTTAATAAGGAGGAACGAGCTTCATCGATCGTTTCCAAAGAGCTTTGAGATGGTCTGGACCCCGCGGGACAATCGTCGCTCTGGCCATCAGCCAGTGGTCCGCAGGACTAATTAAGCTCACCAAAGTTGCACATTAATCGGCTGAGGGCTCGGTGCGCGACTTTATGCGTATCACGTAAAAGAGACTGTCGCGCCCTTCCGCGGCAAACAAGTTCCCGGCGGAGACCGGACCTACAATTTACGACTTTAGTTGTAATCCGAGTTTCAATTTGGATGGGCGCCGCGCTGAGTCTCGGGCTCTCTCTCTCTCTCTCTCTCTCTCTCTCTCTCTCTCTCTCTCTCTAGTATAAAATACTGGAATTCCAGCCGACGAATAAAGGAAGAACCGAGCACATGATGGGCATGACGTGACTACTTGTCCAATAGAGAGAAAAACTTCAACTCTACGATTCATAAGGCGTTAGGTCGGCCCATAGCCTGGTTTCCTTGCAATCTCGTTATGGCGGATCTGAATGTGAATATGGGTCTGCTACTCGATACGAAAGGCGAATGTGAGTCGAATGGCCAACACGTGCTTTTCGAGAAAAACTTTGTTAGTTGTATCAAGAGCTGACAAAATGTCATACAACTCATAAATCTTTTAAGAGCTACCAGATACTTTTCAAGCTTCTATTCATTTAACGAACTATTGTGTCGACAAACCTGCATAACCAATCTTAATATTTTTAAATAAGATGTACGGTGTGTGGCTTTCTACATTCCCTTCACAATTGAAAACTATTATTCTTCGCTTTCAAATATTTTATGAATAATACGACAATCGTGCATTTATTTAAAACGCGTGCAATAAACAGTAGTTAAAAATAGCCAAATTAGCAATAGGATTCGACGTCAAAAGAACGAATTCCAGCGAAAATTAACAGTTAAGTTTCAATTAACGACACTAAAGTTAACAAAAGGAGAAAAGTATTATCTTGACGGTTGAATTACCGCGCGATACTGGGAATGGAGAGTGCTGTAAGATCGATAGATAAATAGATCAATAGATCGATAGATAGATATATGGATGGATAGATAGACGGTGCCGGGTGGGGGAGTGAGGGAGACAGGGACAGTGAAGCGAAGTCTTTACAAAAGGCAACAAACGCAGTTTAATTGAACTTTGAAAATTTTATTTTATTCAATTGACAAGTTACCCTTGATCGTTCAAGTCGCGTGTTTTACGACACGCATGCGCACACGTACACACAGGCACGTTATGGAACAAGCGGGTATGTATTATCGAGGCAAGATGAAAGCGCAGGTGCGACTCTGTGGGGGGCTTTGAATTCATTATTCCCAAAATTGAAATAACAAACGCGAAGTATGCATTACAAGCAGTTCGAGCGACTGAGCGAATCGATTTTTACGTACTGAAATTGTCGTGTCGCTATTGCCGGAATTATCAATTAAAACCTACGGGCGCACGTTGCAAATCAACGAGCTTTAAATCCTCTGGTGTTGAAAATAATGCTTGTATTCTGAATGCATCGATGAGCTTATTGAAACGTTTTTGAGAGAGAGAGAGAGGGGGGGGGGAATGCTTTCGAAGTATTTTGTGAAATGTTCGATCATTCGCCATTGTTTTCATGCTTTTTGCTAGCCTTAGTTAGCCATTGTAAATTTGGACTACTCGAACGTTCAGTCGCATAAATTGTCGCAAATCAAGAACAGGAAGACATGTTTAATGACGTGAGATGAGTCGAAGCATAAATGATGAATGCTATGTTTATTACAATTTTCGATCATAATGGAAATTAAGCTTAATCTATGGAAAATACTACAATTTTCTACCGAATTCATTTTCCTCGTTAAAAAATTGCTAATTAGAGAATAATTATCATAAAGCAGTCGATGATTGTTGTATCGAACTAAAACAACTTGGCCAATCTAATTCAAAATACTGGATAGATGATCGTGTATTAGCCAACTTAATAATTACACGTTTATTATAAAACGAAAAGGCTTGGTTATTGTATTTTTTATTAGGATAATTAAAATCGGGTTTAGAAACGTTAAAATATCAAACTCCGCCGCCGAAGAGATCCGATCAATTTAGCCATACATCGGGGATTCGCTTTAACTGCACGACAACCGTCCTAAAGAAAGATAGATGCAACCTCAGTATACTCGTCTCATGATAAACCGTATTTGGGGTAATCGGACACTACCCACTTTATCACACTTGCGAATCTCCAACTTTTAGAAGAGTGAATGTTTCCACAATAAGCTTACGATTATTACAATATTTGACATTAATAATAAATCATACAGATAATCAAAAATTAACATTGATTGACTGTTAATAATTTCCATCTTTGTTGCATTTTACGTAACTATTGGTTATTCGACAGCTCGTGTAATATCGCAAACAACTGATTTCTTTCACAGCAAAATAATTCAATTGATTATTGTGACTGAAATTCATATTATTAAAAATTATTCCCTCTGTGTGTGTGCGCGCGCATGTGTGTGTAATATTCAATTTAAAGACGTTACTCATTTGATGAGAACTTCGTAATATGCGGAAGTTCGTACGTATGTGTGTGATAAATCCAATAGGTGCGAAATTATATTTTGGATTAAATTTGGAAGGACGGAGTTAAAGATTATTAAGGCTAAGCTTAAATTCTATAATCCTGATGAAGAGATTCAAGTATTCCCAAAGGTAAAAAATGGAGCGAAAGAAGCTTAAATAACTCGGATGAAAAAGTACACAAATATAAAGAAACTTCACGAAGCAGTTTTTTGTTGTTAAGACAGAAAAAAAAACCTTTAACGCATAGTAAGAAATTTAAATTACACTTGTGTGTAATGAACTTTCGCGGAATATTCACACGCAAAAAGGCCATTGCCGTGTAGAACTCGCGAAGCTTTTGACTTTCTTGACGCATCGGTCAACTTGAAGACTCAGCTTTTTCCAGCTTTTCCCTTCCTACTGAAGTTGATACCGGCATATCAACAGTCAGGACACGCGCTTCAGTTTGCACCTTAATTACAACCTTATACTGGGCCGACAGCGTGCGAGCTTTGATGATAATGTAAGCGCGACGTAAATCTCTCTCTCTCTTTCTTCTCCCGCTGTAGCTCCCCTGAATGTTTATCGAACACGAACGAGAGATGCTCTATATTTTCCAAGATTAAACAGCTGTTCGGCATTTTTAACCGAATCACCAAATAATGATATTTGCTCCGATACAAAAATCCCATAATTTGTTGAAATATGCTTTTGAAATTCTATATTATTCTAATTCGAACTGTGCGTAAATAATAAGTAAATTTTTTTCACATAATCTTCTCCTCGGCGAGACTTTATTTTATATAACAAAATGCCTAATAATTTTTTATTTTTGAATAAAGAGAAAATTGTACGAAATATAACGAGTGAAATTATTTTGCAAAAAAATTTCATATACATTTTATTCTAATATTTCATTTATCAGGTGGAGATGAAAGGAATTTCTGGGCCTGTAGAATTCAAGGAGGGTCGAAGAATACAATTCAAACTGGATTTACTTAAACTCAAGCAACATTCTTTAGTGAAGGTGAGAAATGCCTTTCCATTTTCAGGAACTTCATTTCACTTATCATATTATTTAATAATCCATCCTTTAAATTTCCCAACTCTGTCTTATGTATAATTGCATTACTTTTACTTTATTTATTTTTTTTTGTTTTTTAATTATAGGTAGGAGAATGGAAACCAGGTGTTGGTATCAATGTCACGGATACAACGGCCTTTTTTGAAACTGGATCGACTAATGTCACCCTCATCGTAATTACTATTTTGGTAAATTAATAACCATATCCGAAAATCTACGAAAATTCGATGCGTGTGTGGTCCATGAGTTATGAATGCAGAGGCTGAATCATCTATGCGTAAAAAAAATCTAATATTGTGTAGTGAAATTTATAAAAGCTGCTAAAATTTCAAGCAATACTTTATTTGTCTAACTTTTTTTTTCTTTTCTTTTAATAGTTCAAATGGATTTTCATGGATTTTCATATATAAAATGACAATATTAAATCAATATTAAACTTCTTATAAAATTCCTTCAACAAAGATTTTATATTTATATTCCAAAAACGCAACAATAGCAAATGTGGTTTTGCCGTCTTGGGATAAAATTCGTAAGTTAAAGTTATTCTTTTACCTCGAAGTAATCTGAAGTATAAAAATACAAATCTGAAAATATATAAATTACAAATTAAAAACAAGCAATTTAAATATATTAAAAAAATTATGCATAAATTAAAAAAAATATATACAGTTCTCTCTTAAATAATTTTTCATATTTAAAAAAAAATGCAGAAATAATTTTAAAATACTGTCTTTGAATAATAAGGCAATAAACGATTTTGTACAATAGTTTCAACGACTTTTAATTTTATAAACGAAAACATTGCATTAGTAAGTGAAGGTTATTTATTTTTCATTTATTTCAGTTTTGTAACTGTCCTTTTAAAAGGTACAACGATCTTTAATAATTATTTTACAATTCATTAAAATATTACCGTCAAATTACTAGATATATACACTAAAAAATTCTATATGTTTTTTGTTGTTTTTTATTTATTTATTTATTTTTTTTTTTTTTTTTTTTTTTTTTTTTTTTTTTTTTTTGCCAATAGAATTATTTACACTCCCTTTGATGTATATTCGTTGACAATAAATCCACAACTTTTATTGCCATTTTTTTTAAATGATGACTATAAATTCGTTTTTCATAAGGTATTATATATTTACGTCTATTTCTTTGACATAGATCCATATTATACTTCGAAGCGCCTACTCATTCGCGTTTTGATTAATTGTGAATAAACGCAATGTCGTCCTACGGAATTTTAATCCATAAATTTACATACGAAATATTGCATATGCAATTGATTGAGATACAAACCTTCTATTACATTTTGAATCATTAATTTTCCTGAATTTACTATTCCCATTTAATATTATGTTTGACATGATCTCGATAGCTTATTGAACAAAAGAACATAATACATGCATATGTAAATATATAATTATATTTAAATACACTGAACTATTTGTACAACGTTTAAGTTGCATTTAAAATGCAATTGTAATATTTATTAATTATTTTTATATTTATTTTTTGCAAAAACGGATGTTTAATAAAGAATACTAGTTTATCGTTTAGACTCATTTGCTTTCACAATAGACCTTTAGAGAAAATAATTTAATTTCCATTTTTAATCCATCACATTGTTATTGGCTACGCGAAATATCATACAAAATTATATATATATATATATATATATATATATATATATATTATCCTTAATATTAATTAATTACAATAGTTGATTCATATTTATTAATAATAATAAGACAAATCTAACATTATAGACTTATATGAAACTTTATTCTAATAAACATAACAAGTAATGTTATTATTGAATTTAGATGTAAAATTGAATTTAAATCTAAATAAATCTTCATGTTTTTCAATAAACAATATTGTCTGTTAAATACGCTGATATTTTTCGTAAATTTTTTTTAATCATGTAAAAGCCTGTTTATCATTTCTCACGAAGTACAGTTACATGAAAATGCAACTCCTTTTAAGTAAATTACTATTAGAAATTAAAAATTTTGTACATTCAAAGAACTATTGAATATTATAATCATATGCTTGAAAGTGTAAATTTAGAAATTCTGTCACATATTATCAGAAACCTATACAATAAATGAAATTATTGAAAGCTTTAAAATAATATTAATTTACGTCTTTTAAACTAGATGTTCATGCAGGTACTTTGTGAATTCCATTAAACGAGATATCTTTTAAAGACATAAAAATGCAATGGACAAACATGAAACTTAATCAATTTATAATAAACTGTATCTCAATTGATAAAATGTAAATGGATATTTTTATAATTTGTAAATTAACTATGACTTAATATAGTCATAGTAAAGAAAATGAAAAGAAACGCTGAAAAGGAGTTTAGTAAGTAACAATATTAACTACAGTTTTCTTCGCGATTAACAGGAAAACATTCAGCTTGTTTTTAGAATATAAATCTTTAAAAACGAGCTAAACTTTCAAGAAATTACATTTATTTCAGTCACGCTTTATGCTTAAAATATCCTTATCTCTGGTTGTCTGGTACATGTTTATTCTCTTTACTCTTTCCTCCTCCTCCTCCTCCTCCTCCTCCTCCTCCTCTTCTTCTTCTTCTTCTTCTTCTTCTTCTTCTTCTTCGTCTTCTTCTTGTATCTCTCTCTCTCTCTCTCTCTCTCTCTCTTTCGTTACCTCTCACACTTTCTGTCTCATCGCCTTCGCATTCTCTTCGATCTTCCTTGCACGAATTACGTCTCGTAACGGGTGCAGCTTACGTATATAATGTAGAAAGCTTGATACGTGACGATACAACACAGCAAAAACCATACGGGAAATTTATACTTTCATGGTTTTTACGTGCACTTGGCCGAGATGATCGCAGGGGAATATTTTCTTACCAGCTGGCACTCGTATCGCTAACTGGAGAGTGGAACGACATGATCCAAGAGCTCACGTGACATGCATGACATTTGGTTCGCTGGATTTATTTCGTATTATTTTGTACACTTTTGATTAAAGGAGGTATCGATTATTTCTTTTCTATTTACAAAAGATATTTTAATTCATTTCTCTACTTCACATATGACTGACTTTTATTCAATCCTATAAAGTAAACACATTTAATGCCATAGACATAATTGCGTCAATGTTTCATATTGCTTATTGTTTTCTTACCATAAAACAGACTTTATAAGCAAACGGAAGAAAAAAATGAACAAATCACGAATATAAAATATGTAAAAGCTCTAAAGCAGGATGATTATTTGTATTTCATTATATAATACATTCGTAGTATTAATTTTGTTATTTTTATTAGCTCGTATTTAATTAAAGGTGAAAATTTGAAAAGTTAATTAAAATACATTTAATTGCTTAGCAAGGTAAATAGATAAATAAAGTTAAGAGTTTGTAAAATGAATTCGTCGAGTCTTCAACCGATAGTAACTGTTGCTACATATTAATTTAGAACCTAATTAAGGAAAATTGATCTGATTTCATTTTAACATAAAAAATCACTGTGCACATTTATTTTATTAAAATTTATGAAAATTTATATGAATTGATTGAAATTATTGAAAATGAAAATCGCAAATGACATTCTTTAATATAATCGATGATTTTAATATTTGCCAAATTATTGTCTGTATGTCGTGGAAATTTTCACGATATTAATGAAACATTGCCTTTACTTATGTACAAAACTTTCGAGATTTAAAGGATATTATTAAAAAAAAATTGTATTTACCACAAATACTGAACTTTTGTAAAATAGGAAAAAACCAAATTAAGAAATCTGCATGAAAATTTAATATTTATATAAATAATGAATTCTTTACATATTCCACAATATTCAGTCGCAGTTTCAAATAAATTCGGTTAATTAATGCAATAGGAATTTTCATCCGTGATCACAGCTCCGACAGAAGTCATTAAGTCATTAATAACAAAATAAGCCAATGAGTTTCCATAAACCGAGGCTTATAGTGATTATGGACTCCATAGTCAATGGAAATTAAAATCAAATTTAGCCACCTTAACTTTTCATCGGCTTGTAATCATTACTCCCTCCTTCCCCATAGTAGGAACCATACCTTAATCCTTTTTGTCAAATAAGAGCTGAGTCCCGAAATTCTCCGCTAATTAACTCGAATGCAACGGGACTACACGCGTTACTCGTCACGTGACACGACACCAACGCTTATCGACGCCTAAGAACCGCGTGTAGTATCGGTGAGGCACCAGAAACTTTACAAGGAATCGGTACCCATGGGATCCAGTGGCGCAAGATGTCGATGTAAATACCGACTAATACCCTCTGGGTTCTCTGGATCTAAATACGCGCGATAAGTACTGGAATGACCGGAAGTTTTGGAACGTCCCGCTTTAATACGCGAATTCTATAATCAGCAATTTTTCAGCAATTACGTATGCACAGGCTAAATAGAGCGTTTGTAAGAATTAAGGTACCAATGATCGGTCTTCTTCGCTCTATCCTCCCTAAAATTGTCTGAGCTGACTAAATTATGCAAAGATAAAGGGAATTGTGCAAGGGAATGCCCAATTATGATTCTTGAATAAACTAATGATTTAAAAACGATCCTGCGATACCGATGCTGATGATGAATTAATGGATGAAATGCAAAGTATCGCAGATAGACAAGCAACCGTACGAATATTAGGCCCGGCACTATTTTCTGCGTTATTACATGTCGCGAAGCAATTATAATGATAATATATCGATGCAAAGTGCATCGGGGATAATTCACGGCGTTTGCCTTAGCGAGTGGCCTCGAGTAGTGGAGCTTACAGTGATTAACCATCGTGTCTTATGAGATAGAAAGGTAAAAAAAATCTGTGCTTGTGTGCCCCAGGAGCAGCCGTACGTGATGCTGCGCAGCCGTGGTAACTTCAGTGGGAACGAGCGCTACGAGGGCTTCTGCATCGACCTGCTCAAGGAGATCGCTCACATGGTCGGCTTCGCGTACAGGATCGAGCTCGTGCCCGACGGCAAGTACGGAGTCTACGACTACGAGACTGGCGAATGGAACGGCATCGTGCGCCAGCTAATGGACAAGGTTTATTGTTTTTACTGGCCTCCTTAAAGTGAAGGCTGTGCCACTTTGCGCTAATTCTATTTACTTGTTATGAAGTTGCGAAAGCTCTGGGATTGCCGTTTGAGATTCATCGCGCGAGGCTGCCGTATCCTAAGACCTCGAGCGTTCGTAGACGCTCGGGCGAATGTTTTGGCACATTTTATTTTCTAAAAAAATAAAAAAAAAGAAACAAAAATTATGATACATTCACTAAGTGGATTACGTAAGAATTCGTTCATTTTTCTTTTCTATTTTTTTCTTTTTTTTTTCTCACTAGAATAAGTTTTATTATTATACGGAAGAAAATTAAAAAGTTACGTATCAATTAAGAAGTTTTGATCGAAGACAGAATGCTAACGTTCGATATCACTACTACGGTGAACTGCTACTTTTCAGCGAGAATTATAAGCTAACGGGAATATGCATAATAATAATATCATGGTCTTTTCAAGTACATATTTCTTACCGGCACATTTCTTTTCAAAAAAGATGAATTTTCAAAATATTTTTGCTCTTCGCTGTGCTGAAACTTCAATGTGATGCATAATTTTGAAATCCACTGATGGTAAATATGCACAATTGTAATGATAAACTTAATTCAAGTTTGCATAAATAATTTTTAAAATATATCCTAGTGTTGAAAACTCTTTGGAATTTCGTAATTATTTTTTCTACTCTAAATGCAAAATAGCGCCATTATAAGTCTTATTAGAAAATTATTGTTAATTCGAATAATTAACTATTTAACATTTTATGCTCAAAATCTTCTCAGATAATATATACATTGAACTATCTTATTGTATTTTACAATTAATTTGGCATATCATACTATTAGGTTATCATCTACCAAAATTTTATATGACTACAATGCAAGTTTAAGAATTACTATAATGTCATATGTAATGTTTTCGAAACCAATTACGAGTATCTAATTTATTTGATAAATGAAATGATAATGCAATATTATATAATACAGCCTTTAATATTTAATGTGATTGAATATTGTTTTGTTGAAGATACTTCGATTCGCTATTTTGCCACAATTCTCATCATATCATCAATGTAATAAAATAATGCATTTCATAATTGAACACATATTAAGTTTAAGTACTAAACGTAAAATAAAAATGCAAAGAAAGTTCGTTAGCATTCTATAGGCAGTTGCCAACATCGGCGAAAAGCGCACTTCCAATAAACATTAAGAATCAAAATGTCAAAATAAACGAGCAGCTGATCAAGCCAGGTCTATAAAATCAAATAAAACCTCGTCCCTCCAAGAAATTAACGGCAATCGGTGTAATAAGACAACGACGACTTTCTCGTCCCTTTGAATTAAACAATGGTTGCCATTCGTTAGGCAGAACGAGTGGCCGTCCATTCCCATAGGCCTTAACAATGCAAATTGCGAGATACCATCGGTACGCAGCTGTCGTGTACCAAAGTACTATTCAAGTACTTCTTGAATCGTCACTTGTTATGAAAAGAAAAAAAGGGATATTACTTTATGCGAATGCTTCGAATAATTATCAGTATTCATAACGCATACCTTTTATCAGGGAATAGCAGTCAAAAGGTAAAGTAAATAGGATGCTTTTGGAAAACGCTTTTGAATTGCCTAGCTTAAGCGATAAAAAGTTCCTCGTAGACGTCGCGAAAACGATTTTAAAGCTTGAAATATCATCTTCTCAAATGTTTTGCATAACGCGACTATGAGTATTTTTCAAAAAAAATAAATAAATAAATAGAATAAAATAAAATAATAAAATAAAATACTCCATTCTCCACTGGAGTCTGTTCTATATTTTAAAAGTCCTTCGAAATAGAGATCAGTGGAGCGACGAATTTTCATTTTTGCCATCAAAGAAGTCTTTATTATATCCGCTCACGGCACCATTAATCTATTGATTATAAAATGATGGTAGACCCTTACTTTTTTTTTCACAAAAATTTACTTACACTCTCACAAGTTGTTTTAAAGATTGCTCAAATATTATTAAAATACAAAAGTTGATTAAATGCCAAATTTCATGGTTGGCTCGTGTATAATAAAAGTGGCTGTGATACTGTACAATTTGCGGGTACTAATTGTCAAGTACATCACATATAATTAATATAAAAGTTCGTTTATTAAATAATCAATTCAACAATGATAACCTAATTAGCTTTAATATAGAAATATTAACATTATAAAATGTTGGCAAAATTATACTAAAAAAATCGACAAGTTTTATGAAATAATTTAATCCAACTATGAATTCTTATTGACCCATTACACAATTTTTTATGTTTTAAGCATTATATAACATTTTTAACTAAATGCGAGTTTCCACATTTTTCTATAATTTATAATAATGACGATTGAATTTGAATAATGAGGATGTCGATATTTGAAAAAGGTGTAAAATTATTAAACAATAACGACATATATCCATTTTTCATTTAATAATTAAATAATTAATTACATTTTAGAAAACAACTTAGAATAAAAACACCTTTAAGAATAAAACTATCGTTGGATTTTGTAAATTAAGAAAAAATAAAACAACAATTAACATTGATGATTAAATTATCATGTTCACTCAAGCAGCTGTACCGAAATCAAATTTTTTTTTTTTCATTTACACTCAGCCGTGGAAGAATATTTAAGAGATATCTGGTGAAGTGTAATTTCTAAAACAGTGGTTACGCAATGAATGAGAGAATAATTTACTTACGACAGAATAAGCCGTGAGAAAATTAAAGCCACTCCACACTGATTTCTTTTCAACAGTATACATAATTGAAGGAAAATTTTTCATACTTATCTTATACAAATATTTGGGCAAATAAGCAAGTTAAACCCTAAAAAGTGTTTATCTGTCTATCCGAAAATTCAATGAATTTACTTATTTACTTACTATGTAAATTCGTAAGCAGGTGAAGGTGATTGATCGCTGGTGATTTGACCCTATTAAAGGACACTGGCTGGGTGCGAAAATAAGGCGCAAAGTCGTTCGTGCTTATTTTTTTTTTCTTTTTCGGTTAGATGATCATTAATAAAGTGGCTGACGCGTCGTCGGCCGCGGGGAAAAATGGCGCGATGAGATTCACTCGGGAGCAAGAGACTCACCCCCCCCCCCCCCCCCCCACACACAACCCCCACCCT